TTTTCATTCTCATTTGATTCAAGGAATTTTTCAATTTCTCTTTTTATTTCTTCTTACCCAGTCTTTCTTAAGGAGGGTAGTGCTCAGTTTTCATGTGTTCACTCTTTTTCCATTGATCTTCCTATTATTGATTTCTAATCTGACAGTATTATGAACTGACTCCTCAGAAGGAAGATGGGGCAATCTACTTCCGTAGTGATATTGCCTTGGAAACCCAAGGAGGGGTCGCTATGAGTCGGGTCTGACTCGACTGTACATAACAACAACAACATGATGAGAAGATACTTTGTGGTATTTCAATGTTTTTAAATTTATGAAGGCTTGCTTTATGGCCTAACATATGGTCTATCATGGAAAATGTTCTATGTGCATTGGAAAAAAATGTACATTATGTTGTTGCTGGGTGAAGTGCTCTATAGATGTCTGTAAGGTCAAGCTGGTGGACTGTATTAGTTTAACTCTTCTGCATTTATGTTGTGTTTCTTTCCAGTGTTCTATCATTCATTGAAAGTGGTGTATTGAAATATCCTACTATGACTGTGGAGTCATCTGTTTGCCTTTCCCACTCTTTTAAAGTCTGATTTATGTATTCTGGGGCTCTTTCATTGGGTCCACAGAAATTTATTATGGCTGTATCTTCTTGTTCAATTGATTCTTTGCCCTTTCAATGTGTTATCTATTTCTGACAATTTAGTATTAATCTTCTGCATTTCTACCTGTAGAGTTTGAATCATTTCTAATTTTTCATTTATTTTGTCATTTTGTTCTTGTATTTTCTTCCAAAATTCTTCTAGGGATTTTTCCGTGTCTTCCTTGATCTGTTTCTCGATCCTTTGAAGATACCTAAATATAATTCTTTTGAATTCCTAATCAGGGAATTCCAAAGCTGTTTCTTCCTCAGGGATATGTTCTGGGTCTGTATCCTGCTCCCTTGTTTCTATTGCTTTATCTTGCTTCTCTGTGTGGACTGTGATGGTCTGTTGTCTCAGAGACATCACGGTGTTGTCGTTGTCATATTTAGATCTCTGTTAACTGTGAAGAACAACTAAGGGTGTGTCAGGCTCTTCTTGGTGGTTGCTTATCATAGGCTCGTTGGTGGAGAAGGAGGTGGTAACTTTCACTCAGTAAGTGAAACTGTAGGATGTGTGGGTGTGGTGGTGTCATATGGGGACTGCTGACTCCCACTCAGACAAAAATAACAACTGAATAACCAACAAAAAAGTAAAAGCAAATGGACAAAAAACACACTGTGTAATCACACAGGAACAGTAACCAAAAAAGAGAAAAGGGAAAAAACAAAAACAAAACAAAACAAAAAACACCACAATATCTTGGGAGATGGCAAAGAGGGAAAAAAGTAGAGAAGGAGAAAAATGAAGAAAAAATGGGAATAAATGCAAAAAGAAAAACAAGGAATGGGGTTACCCACAAGAAAGAAAAAAGGAAAAAAAAATGGAACCAGGAACAGGGAAAAGAAAAAAAGCTGAAAACTATAACCTGGGAAGGTAAGAATAAACAATGATAATAAAAAGGACAAAAGTAATAATAATAGTAGTAGTTTTAAAACAGACAAAAACAAACAAACTAAAAAAAAGAAGAAAAAAAAAATCTGGACTGGGCGGGGCAGGGCACCTAGGCTCTGTCCAAGCACACAGAACTGGGATTGGGATGGAATTCCTGCCAGCCTAGAAGGTGGGTGGCAGAGTGGCACCTCTGTTCACCAAGCGGGTGTGAGATTTAAGAGTAACAAGGGGAATGTCGCACCTTTCCAATAGTTCATGCATCTGGGGTGTCTTTGTGTTTCCCAGTAAGCGTTCTTAAGTCCCTGGAATCTGGGAGAATGCTGTCACTTTAAGTATCGAAAACGGTCAATCTGCTTGTAAACATTCAATGGCTGCACTCTGGACAGGCAAAAGTTCACAGTTCAGCCTGCCTTTCTCTTCACTGCTTTGCCTTTTATTCCCCAGCCAACAGAGCAGTCCTCTGTGCAGTCCCTGGCTAGCAGAGCTGACTTTTCGATTAATTCTTAGGTCCTCCCACCACTCGGCAATATCCAAGTTGTCTGTGCCGTCAGGATCACTGACAGACCATAGCTCCGTATGTCTCCTTTTTTGGTGTTTTCATGCCAATTCTTCTGCTAGTTGGAGTTTAGTCCACTTCTATATCCTTCCCTTCCAGGCTCAAGGGTCCAGGATTATCTTCTGTATCTGTGTTAATTGGTTCCCTTTTTCTTTGTTGAAGAGGGTCTGTGCAGTCTTTCTGCCTATTCCGCCACCTTACTGGAACTCCAAGACTGTAAATCTTTACAGAAGTAGATTATCCCATCTTCCTTCTGTGGAGCAGCTGCTGGGTTTGAACTGCCAACTTTCCCGTTAGAGTCAAATGCCTTAGGCACTATGCCACCAGAGCTCCTTGCATCCTTGGTTAAGTTCTCAAAAACAGTGAGTTTCATTTCTGGGCATTCTATGTGTTGAAGTTATCTATTTAAACAGCATTTTCACATTCTTTTGGCCACAAAAATTTCATAATATGCTTAAACATCTGGTAAGGTAATGCAAGTCCCACCTAGCTTCTCTTTTCTTGGTTATTCTTCATTATTTGTCCTTCCATGTAAGTACTGAAATTTTTATTTTTAATAATTTCAAAAATAATTCATAAAGATTAAAAATGGA